ACACACACACACACACACACACTGTGGTGGCAATGAAGGCAGCCAAAACTTCCGGAGGAGCAGAATATCTCTATTGACAGGGACGTCTCTGAGTTCCCCAGAAAGAGCGAACATTTCGGTCAAACACAACGTAGTGCGCTGGATAATACAGAGTCTGGCTGACTTAATTAATATAATATCATCATCCTGTCTGATTTGGTGGACATTTTCATTACCGACTTCCCTTTTTTTTCTTTCTTTTCGTTTCTTTTCAGCTCCTTCATTTTAACTTGCTCGTGAGGATGATTGTTATTCTCGTCATCCTTATTTCGCGTTTGCATTTTTTGCTGTCTGCAGCTTTTTGTTCGTTTGTGTATAATATTCTTTTTACTGTGTGTTTAAAAAAAATTCTCTTAGTCATGCAACAAAACTTTCTCAATGTCATGTTTGAGGCTTTCTTAGTGTCACTGTTCAGGATTTTAAAGAAAACTCCATTGTCTACAGTGCCATTAAGCCATAACATGATTTCTTCGGCAGCTTCAATGTAATATTATTATTCATATTGTCACTGTGCTAATATTGGGTTTTTTCTTTTGTTTTGAGGTTGTTGGTTTAGTTGCTTGTTTTTTGTTTGTTTGATTTTTTCACTGAAGAGTTTTCTCCCTGTCTGCGTCATTTACGTGGATTTCTTGGTATCAGTAAGACCTGCTAGCTGTCCTGTCTTTGTCACAGTAATACCTGGGAGTAGGAAAAATACAACACAAAAAAGCAACAAAATAGCAAGTTACTGTTGAGACTTCATAATGACAGCTGAATGTTCTTTTAACCACCGAGCTTTACTACATCATTCTAATTTAATTTAATAGTAGAGGGTTTTACGGCCCTCGCAACTGCAAAAGGTCATATGAACAGCATTCTACATGTTATTACAAACTTCAGCTCATTCTTCCACATTGATGCAGTAATCATGACTGTGTTATGTTTGTATAGATTTTTATTTTTCTAAACTGGATTTATTTCTTCTAATCTGATTCTTGCCTTTATGTAATCGCTTTACAAACAGAATACACGAAAGTAAAAAAAACCCCAAAAAAACAAGAAAAAACTTTGGTAAGCAAAACAATGACGTAGGAGCTGACTGTGTCGTCCTATTAACAATCACTAAGCCATTAAACCGTCGTCAT